GGTTGGGTTTCTTCTTCTTTTCTTTCCTCAGGCTAACAACGTCTGGTATCCGTATCCTACCGTTGTTCCTCCCAACAACATATCTGCCGAGTCCCGTTGACGACAAGTCAAATTCATCAAGTCGTGACTTCCTCTCTCTTTCCCCTCATCCTGCACCTCTCTGCACCCGTCTATTCCAAGCTTTGGTGAATTTACAAAACGCCGGCGGCACCGAAGTGGTCCAGGGCCTCCTTGACACGCGTGGTCATGGTCTTCTCCGACTCGCGCACCCAGACACGAGGGTCGTACTTCTTCTTGTTGGGCTTATCCGCGCCCTCGGGGTTTCCGACCTGGCTCCTGCGACGGGGGTCAGTATGAAAGATCGGACTTTAAGCGGTGCCGCGCCACCCGGACACAAGACAGGGGCAAAGTAGGTACGCACTTCAGGTACTCGATGTTCTTCGTGACGTAGTCGCGAACACCGGTGAGATAGGCCCACTGCAGATCGGTATCGAGGTTGACCTTGACGACGCCATGGCTGATGGCCTCCTTGAACTCCTCGAGAGACGAACCGGAACCGCCGTGGAAGACGAAGAAGACGGGCTTCTTGTCGTTGTTACCGAGCTTCTCCGAGACGAAAGTCTGGTGCTTGCCAAGCAGCTCGGGGTGGAGCTTGACATTGCTGTGAAATTGTTGTTAGTGACCACGGTTTTCAAGAGCGGCGAAGATATTATGTCATTGGACGCGAAGAGGCTTAGGCTTACCCAGGCTTGTAGACGCCGTGGACGTTACCGAAGCCGGCAGCGATAGAGAAGTAGGGGCTGATGGCGGAGAGCGTCTTGTAGATTTCCCAGATATCCTCGGGCTGGGTGTAGAGCGAGTTGTTGTCGACATCCTCGTTGTTGACACCATCCTCCTCGCCGCCAGTGACTAGAAAGATATGTGAGCAGGACTGACCGCGCAACCACGGGAAGAGAGGAGATAAAAGACAGGGGAAAAGGGGGTCAGCCATTCAGAGGCGCGACTTACTGCCAATCTCCATCTCGAGCCACTGCTTCATCTGTTCGCCCACATTAGGTCAGTATATGAGGCACAGAAAGGGAACAAGACGACGAGCGAAATAGGAGACGACGTACGGGAGCAGCGCGCTTCAGGTACTTGGCGGTGGTCTCAATGTTGTACTGGACATCGTCCTCGCTGAGATCGATCATGTGGGAGGAGAAGAGAGGAGTGCCGGTCTTCTTGAACTCCGCCTCGTCGGCGTCAAGCATGCCGTCGAGCCATGGCAGCAGCTTCTTACTGTTTCAGACGTGTCAGTACTCGCTAACCGAGTCCGAAACTGTGCCAACGTACGCGCAATGGTCGGTGTGAAGAACGACGGGGACGCCGTAGATGGGAGCGATGGAGCGGATGTAGTGCGCCGCGGCAACGGCACCGGCGACGGAAGCCTCCTGCTTCTCGGCGCTGTTGGCGACACCCTTGCCAGCGAAGAAGGCGGCACCACCCTGGGACCTGAAATTGTAGTTAGAATCAAGGAAGTTACTTCTCTAGTGGTTCACTTTCGCGGATCGATTGAGGGCCGAACGCACGTCTGCAGGATGATAGGGGACTTGGAGTCGCGAGCGGCTTCGAGGGTAGCGACGACAGTGGAAGAAGAGGTCTAGCGAAAAGAAACAGATAAGCTGTTAGCGGTTTTCCACCCAAGGACCATATCGCATCGGAAAAAGAAGAAAAAAAGGGAAGATGGGATTGGGAAGACAAGATTGAGACATACCACGTTGACGGCAGGAATAGCGAAGCCCTTCTCCCTGGCGTAGGTGAAAAGCTTCATGACATCATCGCCGTAGATGACGCCGGGCTTGAGATTGAGGTCGGAAAGGACACCCATGTTGACTGTGTGATGTGAAGGAAGCTAGAGCAGTTGTGAGTAACGGTTGAAGAAGAAGAAGATGGATGATGATGATGATGATGATGATGTTGATGTTGATGGCGGGGTAGCGAGAACAATGGAACAGAGGAATCAACACGATGTAGGATGTGGAATCGGAGGAAGACTTACCGAGAAATATCTTGAATACCCCAGAAAGAATTGGTTATAAGCAAAATGGATTGAGCTTTTTTGTTTGCAGTGGACGATAAATGCAGAGAGGTGATGGTGTGAGTTATGTTTTCTATCGACGCGAGTTCAGAGGGATTTCTGGTAAAGCTGAGGAGGGGTCAAGGGGTCGAGGGGCCAGAATGAAAGTGGAGCATAGGTATGACGGTGCAGCTGGGGCGTACAATGTACTTCCTCGCTGTAGCACTAAAAGTGGCTGGATGGGTCTTTTGTAGCTCGGTAAAGTCACTCTCCAAGCAATTTATAGCCCCGAGATACTTCTCATTCGCTAGGGTGCATTTATCACTCGTACCCACCTGTGCTCCACACGTACGAGGTAGAGGTATCGATTACCTACTGTAATTTAGAGTACGTTGTAATCTCCCAGATCCCGCTAATAATTAATTATCACTTTGACGTCAACAAAACGGCCCCGATTCCAGCCGTCAACGTATTTTTCCGCCTGTAGCCAGCTGGAAATCCCATGAAAACCGACTTGTCGTCCGCCATGTTCAGAATTTTCTCAATGAGCGTTCATTGAAACTCTCCGAAGTCGGACGGCGCCCCGAATTATTTGTTCTCTTACGAAATGAATTGACCATCGTGGATATCATATCGCACATTGGCGAGAAGAAAGAAACCTTTGCCCAACCAACGGGGAGGGGAGAAAAGGTCAGCTCATGGCACTGCGTCCAAGCTTGGATCTCGTGGGTGATTCTTCATGAGCTTCTTCACTCCCCCGTCCCGAGCCGAGAGGGCCCATACTCATCCCGTGGAGGCTAGCAAGAGAATTACCTAGAAAATGCCGTACAACGGTTCGAGCTTCGAATCGTATTCCGGGGACGAGACCGAACCAATACCCGCAGTGGAAGACTATCACCGACCCTTCGACCAATGATGGTCTAGATCGTTTGCTAAAGACGAAATCGAGCCAAAAAAAGGGGGCCTACTAATTAGCTATTCTCTCCGACCTCACTACCCCAGGAATTACCGAACGTCGCCGGAAAGATGCGGAAGGAAACGGCGCTTCGACGACCCAGCATCTCCATTTCTCATCTCCGGACATTGCTCTAGTCTTGGACTTGGGAATTCGCGAAGATTCCTTGTTGGCCATCAAACGATATCTTAAGCTGGCCGGTCGCTTGGGAACCACCTCGGGTCTTCTCGGTTGATACCGGCGATACCCATAACTATCCCATCATAGAGCTCTGTCCGGCCGGATAATCTTTGGCCGTTACCATGACGTCGTTCCTAGCCCTATCGATGTTTCGCCCGAACGGCGCTCGCCGCCTCGGATGACAGACATTACATACAGTACACACCTCCAAGACGGACCATAACGCCCATATCACAACATCTATCGCCTTCTATCACCATCTCTCGACCTCGTATTCGGGTTCCTTCCCTTTCCTCTTCCTGCCAAGGCTTTACTGTTGTGGTGCCGGCAAAACCTAAGAATTATGTCTTTCTTTGACCGGGCCAACCAACCACTCTATGTGCGAGTAACACCTTCCTCGCTCGTGTATCCATTGCTCATCGTGACTCGTGCTGCGCCTGTCCTCTACCTCTACCTCTACCTCTACCTCTACCTCTACCTCTACCTCTACCTCTACCTCTACCTCTACCTCTACTTAATATTTAGCTAACAATAATACATACCCGCTACCGCCAACAACGCCCACGCCATGCATAATATACGAAGTTAACGTCATTCGCCGGTGCGGCTAGTCGAGATCTAACTGCTCCAGCTCCTCGGCAATGAAGGCATCATCGCGAGCCCGTCCCCGTCTCTGTTCCAGGTGTCGTGTCCCGCCGGCACCGGTGCCAGCGGCGGGGCGGGAAGCGATGTCTTCCATCCCGGACCCTGCCGCGGTGTATCCCATCGAATTCGCATCCTCATCCAACTCGCTCCGGCTCCCCTCGCTCTCCGTCTCGGGTGGCGTTTGAAGTCCCGCGGTGATATCTCTGGCCCCCAAATTCCGCTTCAGCATGCACATCTCCACGGTGATGCCCGGGCCGAACGCGCACCCGACCACGTAGTCGCGGACCCGGCCATCGGGCGCCAAGGCATCCATATCCTTATGCCGCAACCGGTCCATCACGCTGAAGATGGTGGCCGAGCTCGAGTTCCCGTGGTTGATGTACGTGTCGTAGCTTGCGCGCATGTGTGCCGGCACGATACGCATCGCCTTTTCCGCCATTGTCAGGATGGTCGCTCCACCGGGGTGCATCGCCCAGTCAAAGTCGTCGGGGTTGCGGTATGAAAGCGGCAACGCCGGGAGGGAGGCCAGCAAGTCCGCGAAGGTCGGCGGTACGACAGATGTGGCGAGTTTCGGGACCCGTGGGGAGAGCACCACTTTCCAACCCAGGGGATCCACGTCGAAGCCGAGGTCCTCGTCCGTGTCCGGTATGATCCTGTGTTGCCAGCCCAGCAGCTCGTATATGGGCTCGGCGGGAGGGTTCCGCCCGCTGGTACTGACGCCGATGCCGATACCGTTGCTCAGCACGGCGGCGCTGGCGCAATCGGAGAACAAGGCGAGGCCGATCCTCGTTTCCTGGTTCTGGTGGATGCTGTCTAGCTCGCTGCGCACCAGGGTGCTGCAGATCTCGAGCGTTACACAGAGCACGCGGGCCGGCTTGCCCCTCGCGGTGTGGCCGAGCGCCAGGTTGGCGGCTGTCCGGAGCACGGCTAGGCCGCCGCTGCACCCAATGCCGTGCAGCAGGAACTTCTCAACCGGGTGGGTGATGCCCAGTTCCTTGGCGACGTAGTGGTCGTAACCCGGGTTGGCACTGTCAGTGCATGTGTTCGAGACGATGTGGGTGATCTCGGAGAGGTCGATGCGGGCCTCATCGATGGCCTTCCTGGCGGCGCGCACGGCTAGCGGTACGCCCTCGCTGAGGAAGAGGGCGTGTAGCTCGGCTATGGAGGGGGCTTTGTCTTGGTTCACGATCGGGTGGTCCGGGGTGCCGATGGAGGATCGCGTCTCGATGCCCGTGAACCGATTAATAGAGAGGACTTTCGACATGCTGTTGGAAAAGAATACCACAACGGGAGGTATCTCGTCAGCGGAAACGGGCGTGGTGGTTTTGGCTCGTACGGATTGATTCTTACGGCGCTGATTCCGGATAGTATCTCTTCCTGAGGATCTCCAGGCAACCTGACTCCAGTTTGTGAGGCGGATATTGAGTGCCCATGCCGATAATGGAGAGTCCAAGCTCCCCAAACGTATCGGGAGCTGACATGACGGTGGAAGGGCGGACGAGGTAGGTAGACAGGTAATAAGACGCAAGATAAGGTGAGGATGTCCAAGTCGTTTTGCCGCTAGATGCCGAATCGCCTCTTCAGAGCTGTGTGTATATGTATCCGTGATATGGCCTCGTCTTCTTCAGGTGTAGATGTGAACAAGAGAGCTGCAGCGAGGCAGGAAATTAGGGAGGAGCACGAGGCGGGCAACGTGGGTGAAAGCAGGAAGGACATCAAAAAGCCGAAGGCAGCAATTGGTTATTAATTAAGCCATGGGACAAGACGACGACGTAGGACGGGAGGAGCTGATGCAGGGGTTGGTTACATGTGATGAGGGCTGCGTTTTAGAATGAACCTAACAAACGTCAGCATAGACGGAAGCCACTATGGAGCTGTCATTGAACTCGGTGCCTCTGTGTTTTTCAGGGCATGTACAATGTAGGTAGTACATTCTCGGGGGCAAAGTAAATACACCTTGTAAGTGGAATATTCTCAGTTGACCATGTCCCGGCATTTTGTTCCCCAGAAAGTGAGGTAGACGTACACCGCACGTCATGCATAACATCCCGCTCTCTCCCAGATAGGAAGGAGATGTGCAAGTATCTCTTTTATGTGCCTTTTTCTATTTATTTAAGAAAATAAATAAGTAAATTCGTTCGCAGAAGGTGTTGCGGCCTTTACCATGCAAGTCGCAAGGGTTGAGTTGGAAGGACTCGCGTTCCTGACGAGAAGGCCGGATTGGCGAAGTTCGTCCATAAGGTACCTTAGGTAGGTACTTGGTCAGAGGTCTAAACCAAGGACACAGTACCTATAGGTACATCTCAACTGCACTGAAAACTGTCGATGACGCGTAGATGTTGGACGTTTTCAAGAAAGAAGTATCTATCACATGTCGGTACCTTAGGTAGACTTGAAAGGGCGCAAGTCAGGGTCCGGTATCTCGTCAGTTCATACTGTCGGAGGGGTTGTTTTGTTGCTGCATGGCGAATGATCAATTCCAGGGCCGGGATGCCCTACGAAGTACACTACATTCCAACTCCTGGCCCCCCCCCCCATTTCGCTCTTATGTCGAATTAGCTTTCTGACGGCCGACACTCCGTCGCAAGCTTAGTCTAAGCAGAACCAGAGATCAACTACCACTCGGCCGGATCCGAGCATCACCATCACCTCGACCCCAGGCCCGGAGATCATTGCCCTCTTCATCCATCCCGATCATCATAGGGAAAACCTCCTCCTGGAAATGCGGCCGACAGCTCTCCCGTGGCGTAAAATGCCCTTCCTTCTTCACGCAACCGTCGAAACCGCCGCCGCCATCTCCTTTATTTCCCACCCGGACTCGCAGCTACCGAGGCCCGTCTCATCTTCCCCCGCCGCCCGCCTCATCCTGGAATCCCTGGGCGGCCTCTTGCTCTCGACCAACCTCATCTGCCTCATCTTCCTTGTGCGCCCTGTCTTCGATGAAACGAGCCGGCTCGTGGCCGCTTCGTTGGCTTTCTGGCACGTCTGGGCTTGTCGTCGCGCTTGGGTACGGCTGACGACCGACAAGGTGGCCGAGTCGGGCACTACTCCCGCGCGCACATTCGGGGGACCGGCTGTGCATCTAGGGGTGCATGTTGTTTTGTTGGGTTCGTTGCTGAGTGCTGCTGTCGTGAGCTAGGGAAAGGGGAGAGGAGGCGTAGTCGAGCACCAATGGACCAATGCGAAATCGAGCGTCGAGTTGGAAGTTGGTCAAGAGGCAGCAAGCTCATGTCACCATCATGATCTCTATTTTCCTTGAAATCAAATGCCCCAAACAAGATTATCTGGTATTGTGTCCAAGGTCCCCTCCCAATTCGCCAAGTAATGCATGCAACATGTACAGAAGGATGTTAGTTCCTGAACAACCGCAGCCCTTCCTCCTCGGCGTTCACAGCATCCATCTCCTCATCCGACGCGCCTCCCTCGGCGAGCTCCATCTTCTGTCCAAACAGGGTGCCGAACAACCTGTCGATGGCATCCTGTTCCCACGTCCGCCGGTCCTCGGGCGCCATGAAGTTCTGCAGTTTCTCATGGATATTGAACCGAAGTTTACGACCTTTGCTCGCCCGCCGGTCTACCTGCTTCTTCACCTTGGCGTCTTTCATCGCCGCCGCCCACCGCACCGTCGCGACGGCTCCGCTCGTTGCCGCACCGGACGTCTCGTCCGCCGTACGTTGGTCCACCAACTCCTTGAGGAGTAGCTGGTAGAAATCGGCATCGTCGTAGATGGTCGCGTCTTCGTTGACCTTCTTCGCCACCTGTAGCGGCGCGCAGGACCGTGGAGTCCGCGCGCGCTTCAGGAGGCGGTCGGAATTCACCAGCTGATCCTCGAGGGTCGCGACTAGTGATTGCCGCGACGCGATGAGATTGCGGCTCTTTACCTCGACTGTCGTGCTCTTGGTCTTGTTCGCCCAGGTCTCCAGTACCTTCTTCCGCTGTTTCGACGCCCGCTCCTCGGTGTCTTGTAGTTCTTGCCACAGGGTTTCTGAGGTATTGTCCTCCGTGTCGCGCTTGCGCTTCTCGCCTACCATGGGAGCGGGTACTATGCTGGCGCGGACGCTGTCAAGGGTGGCAAGAAGCTGAAGGGCCGCTTCCTCGGCCGCTTGATACGGTGTCGAGTCCTTGTCATCCGCGTCCTCCCCGTCAAAGGCAGAGAAGGAATTGGTGGCCACAAGCGCCTTTTGAAGTCTGATACGAAGGTTGAGGAGTCCGTCGAAGACTTTCCGTTGCTGGCGCACGGCCTGGCCCTTTTTCGCATCTTGCTGTGCCGCGGCCGTTATACTGGCCACAAGCGCCTTTTGGCCTTCGTTCATCAGCCTGCGCTGCTCGGCACGGGCATCGCTTTCGCTGCCTTTAGATGGGCGGGCCTTGGGATGATCGTCGTCTTCCTCGTCGTCCTCGTCGTCCTCGTCGGTGTTGTCCTCCTCGTCCTCCTCCTGTTCAGACTCCGATTCATCGTCGCCGACGATGAAGCCGTCCAAATCACTGGCCTCGTCCATATCATGGTCATCTTCATCGTCGTCCTCGTCATCGTCATCATCATCTTGGCTGGCAGACTGGTCCGTCTCCTCCTCCGCCTCCGTGTCTAGGAGACCTGCACCGCCGATGTCCTCATCGCCATCTTCTGTCTCTTCCTCATCCTCCTGATCGAGTCCACCGTTGTCCGATTCTTCTCCGGAAGAGGATATGAAGTCTGCAGCGACAGGTCGCTTTTTCCTCTTCACAGCCCCGTCTCTGGGCTTTGAGCTGCCGCGAAAGACAAAGTCTCTGAGGTCTCCATCGTCGCTCTCTACTAGAGCATTGTCACTGTCGATTTCTGCGTCTTCGTCCGCACTGGCTTGATCGGCTGCAAGGTCGGCGGTTTCCGGGTCGTCGTATTCCTCCTCCGATTCATTGTCCTCGCCCTCGTCTTCGTCTTCCTCTCCGGAGTCCAATGCCTCGTGCGCATCTTCAAAGTCTTCACTGCCTTCTTGGCTCTCATCGCTGTCTTCGAGAGCCTGCCGACTAACCCGAGCACCGCGGTACTGAGGCCCTAACGAAACCGAGTCTTTCTGCCGGAGTTTGCTCTTGCTGGAACACACGTCAGTATCGCCTTCCACACCATGTGTCAACCTCTGGCTCTTAATGCATACCCAACATCCACGTAGTGCTCTGTGCCTGCTAGGTTAGCGGCTTCATCTTCACTTCCGCTGTCGCTGTCTGCTGGATGGTCGGTGTCTGGGTCGTAATCTGCAAGCGGCTTGTGGTCAGTCAAGGTTGGGTTGGCTAATGAATGAACACATCAGTTTCCATGGCATACCTTTAGGGGCCTTTTCATCCCATTGGGAAAACCTCTTGGGCATAGCCATGGCGCAAAAATCGTTTGGCTGTTGTTGAATGGTTTTCGTGCCTTTTCCGTCCCGTCGAAATTTCCTGTCGATCCCGCGTTCAAGAAACTTTTTGGCGGTGAGATCCGGCATAAAAAGAGCCATCCCACTCGACGATCACCTGCATGCTTAGTCAATCTATTACCTAAGGTACCTAAGGTATCCATAAGGTACTTCGTAGGTACGTACCTACGGTAGGGTACTCGCCAGTCGCGACGAAGGTAAGAGGTAGCCAGTGCACCACACTGTACACGTTCCTCGAATTGCTCCACACATAGGACAGTGTCAATAATGACACACGCTACTGCCAACTCGGAACATGTGGACCAACTCCACCGCAGCCATAAGGTACCGGCGGTACGTAGTACAAAGTAGGTACATTGACCATATCCGTGCAGCTCAAATGGCTTGCGTCGGTTGAAAGACAATCCCACTGACCTGCCCAGCTTAGCATCAAATATCTTATCAAGCAGGTGTCTGCATCTTCTGCCGCTCACGTGGAGGAAAGTCCCGAGCTCCCGGGTTAGCGCTACCTACGGTAGGTATTTAGGGAACAGGTGAGGGGAGAAATACCTACATACAGACCAAGGTGGAGCATAAGGGCGTAAGCCATGCCAAGACAAGGATCACTCCGAGATCCCACCCTTCTCATCACCTTTTTGCGGTTGATCCCACCACGGCCCCTTCTTTCACCTCCCGCTCACCCAGGATGGCTGGTTTTCCATCTGAACCATTGCAACACCGTCTTCACTCCAGCCGCCGACGTGTCTGTCGCCGTTTCGCACGCCAGCCGAGACCATGGAGCAGATCGAGACGCAGGTCAGCGACCTTCGCTACTTGACAGAGGCGCCTGTCTCATTGCCTGCCGACCGACTGGGTCGCGGCCTCGGCGGCGTGGCCTTCGGCGCAGCTCTACCTAACCAATCGTCAGCAGCCGCAACGGCACCAGCAGCACCGGCGCCAGCATCAGCGCCAGCATCAGCAGCCTTACCAGGCCGATCCAATGCTAGCACGACCACGCGCTCAGGCCTTTCCGCGATCCCCGGAGACAATTCCGCCTTTCACATGACAGCCTCGCAGACAACATCAGATGCCGCTATTCGCAGCACAGGAGGGGGAAGCAACAAGAGAAAGTCCGAAGACGAGGGGTCTGGAGCAAGGCAACAGAGGAGCAAGCGCAATCGAGTGAGTCGCCCTGACTTTGTCCCGTACCCCTCTATCCATCCACCTATCCCTGTCTTATTGTGCTACGTTGGTTGCTCCCTCGTGGAATATGTCTGGCCCAAGACAGCTTCCTTGACTAAACGTTACATGAATTTGTTATCTAGTACATCTCCATCGCATGGTAAGCTGAAAGACCCGAACCCGCGCCGTCGAGTACTCGCCTCTTCTGTTCTCTCCGACAGGTTCTGGCCCGAAGATCCCCTGCTGACCCGCCCTCGATGGTTGTAGTAACGAATGCAAGAGACGAAAGATCAAGTGCAATGGCGAAACACCGTGCCAACGATGCGGCAACCTCAACCTCGCCTGTCTCTATGCGCCCAACTGTTGCTCCAATTCCTTCAAAGAGTCGGACGAGTACAGGCGCATGACGGACCAGTTGACTCGGCTGCAGGAGCAGATTGACGTCCTCTACCATGGCCTGGCCTCTCTACGTTCCGAAACGCTCTCCCTCGCTCCGATTCGGGACAGAAACCTGCCTCCCCCCTCCGGCAGTTTCGCTGGGTCCCCGGCAAGCACGTCGTCCTATTCACACTCCCATCGCCCCGAAATAACCCACGCCAGATTCCCCTCGTTCCGCGGACCGACAACCACTGCTTTCAGCCTCGACATCGCGAACAATACCATCAATACCATGGGCTATCGAAATCTCACAGAAGGGGACGAAGTTCATGGCGCATCGTCCGATAATGTCGGCGCCGGTGCGAATGTGCGCTTCCCTCCTGATACGACGACAGATCCGCTCTGGGAATACGGCAGGGACGAAATGATCCGCCTCTGTCGCGTACACGAAGACGAGCTGGGAATCATGTATCCGGTCCTGAGGGTGGACTCGGTCATCGAACATGCCAGGAAATTGACGGCCGTCATGGAAAGGGCGAGGATCCAGGGGACGGCACCGCCCGGTCTCGACGACGACAGTACGCTGCAGCTTAAAATGGTCATGTGCTGTGCGCTCGCCGTCGAGGGACACGGGCACAGCGAGCGGGCCGCCAAGCTGTACGACAGCATGGAGTCCATTATCAACAGGAAGCTCATGGCCGAGCCCTGCGACGTCAAGAGCCTCCCCGTCCTGGCGGTGTTGGCCGGCTACAGGTTCGTGTCCAATAACGAGGTCCTCGCTTGGAGAGTGGTCGGCCAGGTGGCCAGGTTATGTCTAGAATCCGGGATCCACCAAAGAGCTGGCCTCATGAAGATCGAAAACGACGAAGAACGGAGAAATGCTCTCCATTGCTTCTGGTCGGCGTACGTGTTAGATCGGCGATGGGCCTTCGCCACAGGTCTTCCTTACACCGTTCAGGACGAGGATCTAGATCCCGAACTCCCCATGCCGGTAAGACTCCCTGTGGAACCCCCCTTCCCCGGTTCCTTTGCTGCAACTCTGTGCTGTCCATATACATTTTCCCACTCACGCCATGGTGCTTTGTAGGAAGAGTATCCCTTCCTCGTGGCGATGATATCCTACTCCAGATTGTCTGCCAAGGTATGGCGGCAAGTGGCTCACTCCGGCCCCGTACTGGCGCGGGAGCATCGGCAACAAGACTTGGAACAGCTGGACCGAGAGATCATACAGTGGTATGACCGCGTTCCCGAGGAGGTGAAGCTACGCCGCTGGGACAAGGAGAACCCGTTAATCTCCACACCCTCGTACAACCTCCAACGACTACGCGTCTGGACCTACCTTCGTCTGAACCAGGTAAGAAAGTTGCTCATGGCTCGTGCTTTATTGTCGCCGTCATGTCTTTGAGTGGCCAGGGACAGGGATTCTGTTGACTTGACGCCGGGGTGGTGTGGGTGTGGGTGTGGTGTGGGTGTGGTGCTGACTTGGCCAGATTCGTACCTGGCTCTACACGCCGATTCTCTACAGTGCCACAAGCATTATGGGAAACCTGCAACAGGCGCAGCTCGTCGTCGACCTAGCCAAGGACACCATCCGGTACCTGAGCCACCTGAACACTACGACGAATTTCTACCGCAAACTCCAAGTCTTCTACCATCAATTCCTGAGCTCGGCCATCGCCGTCTTATTCCTGGCTTCGGTACACGCGCCCGTGGAGTTCAGCTCGGCGTGCCGGAAGGAGTTCTACCTGGGCTTGGAGCTGGTCAAGGACCTGTCTGCCAAGAGCTGGGTGTCCCAACGGCTGTGGCGGACCATTAGCGCGCTGAAAGAGGTTGCTCCGCGCATCGGGCTCAGGCAGCATGAAGACGACGATGCGCACGGCACGCCGGCTCTCACGATGGCGGGCCTTGCCACGGGACGCCATGGCGCGAACAGTCCCGCGTCCATCAGTCCCTTCGGCCGAGGGTCCGTGGTGTCGACGCCCGGCGCAGGCCCGCCGCAGCAGAGCACCCCGCGGATGGACAGGTTGCCGTCGCCCGACAACGGCGTCCGTCTCCAGAGCGAGATGAGCCGGATATACGAGGGGTACGTAGGCGTCCAGAGCCTGGCGTCCGACCAGGACGGCGGGGGCACGGTCACCGGGGGCATTCGGACCCCCAACTCGGCTGGCGGTCCTGGCAACCCGTTTACGTCTGCCGATGCCACTGTGTTTCAACACTTCAGGGAGATGTTCTAGGTTCCCAACGATTGAAGATGGCTTATATGTCTATTGAGTCTTCTGCCGATTTGGACTGCTAGCTTGGGATGACGCTCGCTCGATTCGTCTGACCTTGACGGGACTGGAGTGCAGAAGAGTCATGACGAGGAAGAGATAGTCCCTTCCAGGGCTCGGGACTCTTCCCACCCAAGAACCAGAAGATTGAAGTCGACACGCCAGTGCAGTTCAGTAAGTACACGCTTGGTCCTCCGAGTCCCGTCAATCAGCCGACTCGTGATATATTCCCGGGCTTAAAACATTCCACACGTTGTCGTGACTCCAGTTGACATTGAGATAGTACCTACCGGATTTCCCTCTTTTGTCTGTGGCTTATTCTTCCCCAGACATCGTGGCTAATCTATCGGGCCTACTTGTCTCTTTCTCGTTAAGGTGGTACAGTTCCCGCGCTGGCAGTGCCTGGCTGTGGTGTCCGTGGACCTGGGGCTCGAGAGTCGAGGTGACGGCGACAACCATATGAATGGCCGAAAAGCTGTGATGAGGAAAGCCCCCCTTGAGTTGCGAGGGCCCTCCAGAGTAATATTAAAGTCGGCGATTCGGATTGGCTCTGGAAACAATCATAACATCGAGGCACTTGAAGAAGCGAGGTACAATGCCGAGAGTCTCTTACCCTCCGGTAGGACCGGTACCTTAGGGGACTTTGCTGTCCTGGAACTTGTGTGTATATTATTTACACTTGTACTGCAATATACACACAAGTACCTGGTGAAAACGGATAGGTTCTTCGCTAGACCGAGGAGGATTATGCGGATATTTGGCTGAAATGTAATCCGGGGATCGATCGACGCAGGTGTTCTCATCATTGTCAGATAAGCCACTGTAAAGAGTCAGCCAACCCGAAGTTTACTCCTTGATGGTCTATTCTATTTGTACAGTGGCGTGGCTCAACACTAATTTCGAGTCAGATCCGACATTTCCACCAACGCGTTCGAACGCGTTACACTTACAACAGCCCTCTATCTTCAAACAGCCGTAACACAGGATACTCATTGGGACCGACTCGGAATTATTGTTATCCGACTGTAAAGCGTGATAGTTCAGCCGAACCTGGCTTGAGGTCTCTAGTGTACTTTGTACTACACGTGTACAAGCTCGCTGGATCCCCCCCTCCTCTTTGAACCCCACCATCTTTGATCCCCGCATTTCCCCTAAATCTCGGGATTCCGGGAACGCCACGCCTGTTTCCCCAACGCCGCCCCACGGACCACTTTGCCACTTTGTTTGCATCCTAAGTCGCCCATTGGCTAATGAATTAGAGCAGGTTGTGTGCCTTCCCCAGGCCCCAAGCCCCGGCAAGGACGTTGGCAACGTTCTATACCTATACCAGAAAGGCCCGTATAATGACACTCCTCTTTGCTATTGATGTGAATCGTGATTATGATCCCAACAGTTAACACGGAGTCTCCTTAACACGTATGCGTACTGCGTATCGGTCTGAAATCTTCCATACTACGCCCAAAAGTACCTTCACTGGACCCTGTGCCAGGTGGACTGTGGCACCGTGGCACCAAAACTCTGGGCTACGAAGTAGGTGGACAGTGCGTGCAGCAGCCAATACGATGCTCCCTTGCTCACCGCTGGCCGACCCTTTTAGGAAGGGATCCACATGCAGTAGGCTTGACAGCTTCACACCAAGTGACCAGTTGCCCAGAGAAGTGGAGAGAGGGAAAGAAGAGGCAAACTCGTCATACTGGTCAGTGCAATCTGGCAATCAATGAGTGATAGGGAAAACGGCAATTCCTGCAATATCTGCCGCATGAGGTCATACGTATGATCCGTGAACAGTGGCTCTAGTCATACGAAGTACACGTACGGATACAACTCCTAAGATATGGGCAAGATACTGGGACTCTCTCCATCGCGGTGAAAGGACGGTCTACTGCCGAGAATGCGGCATGCCACTTGGCCCAAGTTAAGATGTGTCGAACATAACAGTGATTCAGTGATGATGTTGTCTGGGCGACGTCGCTTAGGTCCTAGGATGCCCGCTTTTTGAGAGAAATAAGCCCTAGCATAAGGATGAACCACGGTTCGCCCGACGCACTAGGATCTTTGTTCAGGTGCCGGAATACGAGTCCTTCAGCCCTTGGCGTCTGCAGCCCTGGGGCCTATTTCACTGGGCATTCCTCCACCGTATGCCCAAAATCGGACTGATCGGCGAGACGATGCGGTCGACAACCGACATATCGTGCGTTCTTTTTTGGGGGGGGGGGGAGTCCGAGCCGGGGATTCTGCTTTGCATCCAGGATCCCATGCGGTTTCCAATAGCAAACCGAGTAGGAGAAAATGACAATACCAAGGCCAATAAGTAATAAGCAATACATAGAGGCTAATTAATACCGCTCTTGGCCCGGGGGAAAGTGGCGACCGCATGCGGCATGTGCTGTTGGATTGTCGACAAACATAATTCTGACGGAAGCCTGAGACTGAGAGTATACAAATAAGGTATAAATAAGCCCAGCTACATGGCAAGAAAAGGCATGTACAAAGTCAAAGCACTGGATTTTTCACTTTAATCCATTAGCTAATCCCATCGCCCAAGTTATATAATATTGTTTATTATTTATTATATTATACACCGATCCCTCCGATCCCCTGGACCCCTTCATCATCACCTTCCCGCTTCCATCTCAATTGCCTGATTCTCGGTATCAACCGTCCCTTACCTTACCTCACCTTATTCTGAACAACGAAAAGAATCAAGAAGCCATCCGGCATCATGCGCACCAACTTCCTTGTCTCGGGCATCCTTGCGGCCTGTGTCAGTGTCACCGCAGCCCCTACCTTGACCTCACCATCATCCGCTGCCCTCTCCCCGCGCCAAAACGACAACTCATCTCCACCTTCTCCCTTCCAGAACTGGCACGCCACCGACTTCACGTGGGGCTCATCGCCCGGCGGCACGGCGGGCACACTCCACCTGGCAGCCGAGGAGGGCTATTTCGAAGGCGCGCCCGGGTTCAACGTCGTCTGCCACCCTATCATGGTGCAGCGCGGGTGGACGCCGTGCCGGGCACCTGACAACAGCGAGCTTCCGCGTGGGAACCGCGTCGACATCATCTGGACCTCGGGCCCCGTGCAGGGACGCTTCTACTTGGGCGCCGCGCATATCTTCGAGATTGCCAAGTGCGGGTCGTGGGTGAACGCCACGGCGAGGACGGATATCGAAGTCCCCCGGCCGCCGCAGGCGGGCGCGAGCTTTGAGTTCCCTGTTACGCATTTGGCTGTGAGCGGGACGGAGCCACCTTTGTCGGAGTAGTAATTGTTATGTTGTGGTTTCATCTTTCTTTCCTTACATATATCGTGCAATGTTTCCAAAGGCGGTGGATGAATTACGCAGCAACTGGGGGGGGGTCAGGGTGGAATGTAATTATTTCGGAAACTATTACTTCTTTCGATCCAGGGCCATTCATTGTTTCACACATAATTGAATCTTTTCTTCTATTTCCAATCTCCCGAGCTTCCTCTTATAGCACAGGTCTTGCATGGCTCGTCCATCGGCTCGGGTCATAGCGAGCGGCTACTCTCTAGAATCATCCTCCTAAGTTGCTTCTGGCTCAGAAGTCACTGTCAGAACCAGACATCATATACTATATGAGCAAGCTGAGAGGGGCAGCGCTGGGGATTCGCCGTCCTGGCCAGTTCTCCAACGCAGCCGAGTCTCCCTTAATGCGCAAACCGGAAATCCAACCTCTTCATCCCCTCGTCCGTCGTGTTGAGCTGGTAGTCCTCCTGGTCCTCCTTCGTCATGGCTGCCCATTTCCTATCGCGCACCCTGTTGCGCCAGATATAAAACGCCTTGACTCCGTAAAAGAGCACAATGTTGCAGCAGCAAATGCCCAGCAGAATCTTGTTGCCACGGCGGTAGAGCGGCTTGTCGTCCTCGCGGTAGATGTTGGACGCGACGATGTTGCCGCTCTGCACGAACATGTTGTACAACGCCGCGCTGACGGCGCGGGTGCGCACCGAGTTGCTGTTCTTGGCGTTCCACCCCACCAGGATGGCGTGGCAGTACGGGTAACTCAGGAGGCCCGTCAGCAGCGCGTAGCGGATCCAGGGGCTGGCGTCGGCGCGGAGCACCACCAGCGGGACTAGCCAGGCAAAGATCCAGATGTTGGAGAGGGAGGACACCGAGGCGCGCTCGCGCACTCTTTCCGAAAACCAGGAGAGGATGAGCAGGTTGACGGCGAACAGGAACTGGGAGGGCATCGCGAGGAGGTTGGCTTCGAATACGGAGAAGCCAAGTTGTCGTAGGATGTATGATAGGTACGTGGCTGGCGGCGCCGGCGGGATGTACGCTGTCAGTCCGATCAGGTAGAGTGGCCACTGTTCCCAGTCCTTGATGGCGAGCCACAGCAGCTTTCCTCCGACACCCTGTCTGTAGTTTTTATATCGTCGTGTCAGTATATCTTGACAATATATACTGACAAAGGTGTAGTAGAATCCACTTTCGGCACGGCGCAACCCGAGGCCCGACGTCCTCCCCCCTGAACTCACCTGTTGTTCATGTCTCCCTTGCTGGGATCGTCTCGTAGCAGTCGGTTGACCAGAATCAGCTCTTCCTCTTCTGTGAACCAGCCTTTCTTCCCCCTGAACCAGTTTGCTGTTTGGCACGGACCGGGAGGCATGAGTCCCCAGGAGAGAATGCCGACAATAACTGTGGCGATACCTTCTAGTAGGAAGCTGGCGTGGGTAATATCAGTGACGAGAGACTTAAAAGTAAAGTGAAGTGGCCCCAGATTCAGGGGGCTGGTGTTCACTCACAGCCACCTCCAACCTCCCCATCCCAAAATACCTCTCATCTGTAGGACACCCGCCGCAACTAGGGACCCTAGGATGTTAGACGTGCTGAGTGCCGTCCAGAACCACGCCAACCTCACGGGAAGCTCATTGGACTTGTAGAAATAGGTGAGATATAAGACGACGTCCCTGGATTGAGGTTAGCGTCAGCCTGAGCAAGAAATCAAGCAGAAAGAGGAAAAGAGATATCAGAACTACTCACGGAATAAAACCACCCATGAGCAATCCAAGCAGGCATTTAATGGCATAAAACCCAGCTCGATTGGTGAGGAAGGCCTGTGATCCGGCCACTATGGACCAACCCACCATGATCGTTGGAATCCATCTATCAGCTCCCAGCCTCTTACTGACAAGACCGCTTGGCAGCTCGGCCGCAAGGAAAGAGACGAGAAAGATCTTTCACCTTGTAAGTACTTCTTCATTCTTGTGGCTCCAGGGACAGGGAGAATTAGGTGCCACTAACCGTTTGACCATAGTTAAAATCGTTCGTGTCCATGCCCAACTCGGGAAGCTGTATTTTGTCAAAACGAGGCTTTAATTCTGAGCAACTCCTGGCGGGGAGTGACTGACCATGTCGTCAGAAATGGCTCTGTTGATGTTCTTCCGATGAATATCTAGAGACACGAACATAATCCATGCCCATAGCATGATTCGCAAGTCGATCTGCCACAGGACAAACCGCAGGTTAGCAACCGATTCTCAGAGCCTGAACATCAGAATACAAGAAAGAGAGGGGAATGAGAAACCTTTTTGACAAGCCTTCTCTCCTTATCGGCCGTCCATTGAAATTTAGGATCGAAACGGCGTCGGTTCTCATAGCCGGCACGCTCGTACACCTTCCGCCAGTAATCCGCAGCACTCGGCTCCGAAAACACGTGGTCTTCCGTCGAGCCCAACCCCTTGGGGCTGACGGCTTTTACCTCTCCACTGTCCGATGGAGGAGAACTAGTTGCGCCGTCCAGCGATTTCTCGCTATACGCCGTCTTGGTGTCCTGCTTCGGCGTGGCCTCGAACGGCGCCCCAGACGGAGGCTTACCGGCCATGGCGACAACTGTGGCTTGCTTGCACACTGGGACAATGTATCAAAACTGGACCGTTTGAAGCAGCAGCCGGACGCTTCGTTTCTGTTGTATGACACCGGATGTGCGTGTACGGTGTGTGTGGCATTGATGGCATATGAATTGAGCACCTCCGCGGAGCTTGCACATGGCTCTTTATACCCAAACCTTTCAGACGCAGTACCTTCTACGGGCATCACACTGAGCCACGTTGACGGATTGGGATACAAGTCCTTGATCAATTTTGGAGAATTTGCCTCAGTGAACCCCTCCTTCTGCCGTGCCCATTGGATTGTTTGAGTCGCTTATCGATGGTGTCATGATCCAGGGGGTATTGCGCTTCGCAGATTGACCTGACAAGAAAGCCAAATACGGCGGCGATATATATCTGCTTGGTTAACTTCTCTGTGTAAAGTTCCATTGAGGTGGTTGTGTGTGGATGGCGTGACAGTGGGCGTGATATTGCGACATGGCCCCCCGGGGGGGTTCTCGGCAAGCGCCAATGGATGAGTCCGGAGCACATCCAGGACACGGCTTCCCTAACCGAGCCTGTACGGGATGCCGGAGTAGTGGATTACATCAGCTTCCCCGGTCGAATAGCGTTGCTAAAGTTGAATCTCTCACCCCGCCGACTTCGGGCTGGTGGCGGCATTTGACTAGGGAAGACTCTGGAGCCGCTACGGTAAGAATGCTAAGAGTTTGGGACCTATTGTCTCTACTCACTCTGGATGGTGAATCAAGTTGAGAATCAAAGCAATATTTTGGGCTCTCGCCACTCGAGATGATTCCAGTTGTCGAATATCAGTTGTATGCTTGTCTCTTCCGTGGACGGTGGGCCTGGTGACTATGAAATGTAGAAATTGAGCTCTTAATATCTTTCTGGACTATATACGCTTAATACGAGACTACATGTACACAAAGCTTTTACGCTTCGTAAGGCGTCTGGAACGGACGCTCCGCCTGAGGTGTGATGCGTGCAAGATGACGCCTGTCACCGGTATGCCAGTCCACCAACGCAGAATGCTGCGTGACGCGGTTATCCCAAACTACAACGGTACCCTCCTCCCACTTGACGCGGGCCTGGAAGTCGGCTCCCCACGCAATGTGCTCATAGAGGAATTTCAAGATGGCATCGGACTCCTCCGTCTTGAGGCCGACGATCTGCCGAGTGACTATTTTCAGGGCCTGGTTAGTTCTCCGTTTCTGTCTCCCAAACTTATGTCTCATGTCCGGGGAGAACGTGAACTTGGGACTCGGGAGTTCTGTGCTTACATTGGGGGTTGACGAAGAGAGCCTTCTCGCCCGTGACGGGGTGCGTCCTGACGACGGGGTGTACGTTCTGGACGGGCTCACGCCGCTTAATGCTTCCCTTGCTCACCGACGCCTCGACCTGTTCGATGCCGGAGTGGACAGCATACAGGCCGTGCAGCCTCTCCTTGAGCAGAGGGCTGAGGCGATTGTAAGCCTCAACAGCGTTGGCGAACAGGGTATCACCGCCGGTGGATGGCTTGTCGAGGATGTAGAGGAAGGTGGTGCCGGGGGGTTGGACCTCGTACGAGACGTCGGAGTGCCATGCCACCGAGCTGGTCCTGGTCTCGAAGAACTTCTGCGCCGAGGTGTCGCCGGCGGCCCGGTGGACGAGGTGGATTTCCGGGAAGCCTTCGGGGGAGCCCGAGGTCGGGTGGATGTGGTGGCGGCCGAAGTAGCTGCCGTACTCGAGGGCCTTGTCGATGGGCAGGTCGGCAAAGTCCTGGTTGCGGAAGACGACGACCTTGCGCTCGGCGACGAAGCGTGCCAGCTCGTCTTTGCCCGCGTTGCTGAGGCTGCTGAGCTGGATGCCGCGGACCTCGGTGCCAGTGGTTGGCGTCAGATGGTTGACTTGGGCGCCCTCGGGCAGGAGGTTGGGGAAGCTAGGGTTGGCATCCTTGCCGTGGTCGTAGTGCTCGAACGGCTCGAGAGGAGGGTATTTCTGCTCGGGGTTCCATGTTGGGAGGTAGTCGGGGTACTATTCAGGCCATGGCCCGTGTTAGCGTACACTCTACCCATATGCCACGTTGATGATCTCCAGGGCCATTGCTGTTCTCGAGTGCAATACGTCGACAGCAACAAATATTTGCCTACCTTGGCTTTCTCTACACCTTCCTTGCCCTGTGTCTCGATCTCCTTCTCATATGAGATGGCGGCCAGCTCCTTGTACTGGCCGGGGCTGGACTCAAGACGCAGCTGGGCAACCCCGGCCACTGGCGCCACCGTGACGGTCTCTGTCGCTGAAGGGGCCATTGTTGGACCTTAAGATTGTGGATTCGTCGACAAAGCGATGGAGTAGTTGGCTGGAATGCAAACCTCGGAGACTGGAGTTGACGACTAGCTGAATTTGAATTCGATGCGTTCTCTACTCTTGTACTTGTAACTAGAGCCAGACCGTATCCTTCGCTCCCTCAACGTCCAAGCTCGAATCTTTATACTTTGTCGGACATGGCCGATAATCGGAAACCGGAGCTGCCATGGGCTCACAAAAGGCGGGGCAAACAATAGCATATTGCACACAAGCTTCAGATGACGACCGTTCTTCGATTCCATTCAGTGGTCCCGTGCACGTGGAGAGCCGATGATGAACGACGTGACGACGAACTCCCCAGGGACAACATCTGGACGAGTCACAAAGCCTCATCCAAATGAGGGGTGGATGGCGCGAAATGGCGTGATGGCTAGATAGACGATCATACTCGACGACGGTGCTCGACCCCGGAGATAAGCTTGGTGTTGTTATGGGAAGTTGATAGCACGCAATTCCTCTAGTTCCCACTTCTCACGCGACTTTTCTCGAGATCTTTCTCTCATTATTCAGCGTCTGAACAAATACCGACGTAGTCTTGGACTACATCAGTTTCTGTTATCTTGGCAAATCGACGAATGTTATCGCTTCAATCAAGCTGTTAATGTCGTAGACTCGTAGATACTTGGTTGTGGGAATGTGAGAAAGGGGGACCACAACTATGGCGAGGACACAAAAAGGGGCGTTGTGGGGCCAGGGGACAAGGATTCGGTGATGTGATGATCAAGCGCCATCTCGAGTGTTGCGAGTACAATGAAGCGAAATGATTTAGGTCGACAAAACCTCTTTCTTAGTCGGCGTGGTTCATTGAACACAACACTCTTCTATTATACCGACTCCGGCCCTGGATCCGGGGTACGATGGTCGGATGGACCGGCACGTTGTCGGACGGTAGACATGTTAGACAACCGAGTCAGAACTCTCCTCCTCCGGCTTCAATGCCCCACTCTTCCGGAGGTAACGGAGACGGGACGCCGAATACCTATTGCCTAATCCGACCCATAAGATTAGCAGTGCCCGGCCCGTGTGGCACTTCGTGTTCATGGAAGAGTTGGGCCCAAAGCACCCAGCTTGCAATTATACCAAAATAGTTCCGAAATGCAGCACGAATCATGACACCCTCATGGTAGCTATTACCTAGCTACTGTATGGTTCACATTCCATGTTCACTAACAACGTCACTGATGGAGATGCTTCATTGTTGCATTGGTGCCTCGTCGATAGCTCAACTTGTCATCTCAGGGGCTGGCTCGTGCGCAAATGCGACGCACGCTGCGTGGGCCAGCCCAGGAGGAGGGGGAATCCAGGTTCCTGGGCTTGAAGACTATTGAAGCAGCGAATATTTGAAGAGGAAGAAACGGATATATGGGGGCGCTTAAAGGTCGATGAACGAGCCATCTCAGGAAAGGAATGGGGATTCGGTGTAGCATTTCTCGGTTTCCAGGCCTGGGGAGTGTTATAACAAGACTCTAGAGTGGCCGGGGTAGGTCTGTAGAACTTTCGCTCTACGTGTCGTGGTCCTTTCATATCAGTGACCCGAGAATGAACTTAAGGAAGGTCAGACTATGACAATAAGTGGGGATACGCTGATGCCCAAGGTACACCCCCTCGAAATACAGTGCTCAAGGAGCACCATGACATATTGTGCTACGGCTGGGTTGGATATCCCGACTCCCGGTAAGAAGTTAGGGTATCGTTTCAAGAAGGGGTAATGACTAACTCTGAGTACTCGGGAATATACAGAATATAGAAAGATGCTGAGTGGTTGATTAAGGCCCTCTACATTCTACTGAGTAAGCGCCGCGGCTGGCAAAGAATGTAAATGGATGTCTTCAGCTTCCTTGCTATGGACTGTGAGCAAGAAACCCCGGCCCCCAGACACTGGACAGCCTGAAGACATGGATATTTGCAGTTGCCTGCACATGGCACAGGAGGGAAGTCCTCTACTTCGTATATATCCGTAAGAGTTCAAGTCCCTGTATACAATACCATAATATTAACAGATGAAATCAATGTGGCATGGGCCCTGAATGTGGCTTCGGCTAGCACATATCGGAGCGGCCCGGCGCACATCACTTGTCATACCTTCATTGGACGCGTGATGGGTTGGAGGTGGTCTGGTAGCTCTCGACTGTCGTGCATAGTTAACAGACTGAGATTGTGTGAGTTGGCAGTATGCAAGACGCGGACTTGACACCTAGCTAAGCCCAACTGAGCATTACCCATCGGAGGCATGGGAGCTGGAATATTGTAGTAAGTTATAACTTAGTAAGTTCCCCGGACAGAATTGAAGACGGGTCAAGTTGATCGTGTGAAAGTTCGAATAGATTGTTGACAAAACAACAAGTGACACTTGCGGGGTGGTGTCTTGGACCTTATTTTGGGACGAAGGTTGATGCATTCGGACGTGGGTGAGGGAGACGAGGTGACTCGGGAGTCTCTGTACTCTGCACCTAGTGGACGGGGGCAGTCGTAGGTGGGTCCGTCATGCTTGCCTAAGTGGGTCAGGTCAGCATTCCCCGGATTTTACCCCAGAATTTACACGGGTCAGCAAGTGGGATTGTGAGCACGGTGAGCACGGTGACTACGGTGAGGAGACAGGAAACCCGGCGCTATACCTTCTTAGGCAGTGAGGGACCCACGTGACGTAAGTACCTACCAAAGCTCCCCAACCCCGCTCGTACATTGGTTGATGCAGCTGCGTTGCCTGATTCCGTGAGTGGGTTATGCAATCACGCGATGTTCTGGTGATGACCGGTCGACTGATGCACAATGATTGGCGGGGCTTCCAGTAGGTGTACCCCGCCCACTGAAACCATCATCATCATTGGACCGGGCTGCGAGTGGCATGAGTTGGGACGCGACGTGACTGGACGGATGGACCGGGGTAGCTTTGGAGGTTCACTGGGAGCTTGGGAAGAGCAAGTGCACGGATACAGTGTTTCTTTCTGTATGGGTACATGCGATGTGGGTACCTTTCATCGTTCATTGATCGTTCCAGACCGAGACGGGCGGGGGATCTCCGGAACCAACGAACAGCTGACCTCGACTGACGACATACGATTGAGGTATCATTCAGCCACCTTGTCTGAACGCAGTAACCTTGTCTTATGTTACGCGAATCTCCCTTCTTACCGTACACGTACTAGAACCTGTGCACGCAGGTACTGAAGATAAATTGCACTGTACCTAAGGACTAAGGTATGCTGCCTTAGCCCGTTGATGTATGTATCTCCCCAATCCAACCTGTTGGTCGGCTGACCTGTAATTGAGGTACCGGAAATGAGATCAGCACTGATCTGGATCCTGCCCCTCTTGCTTCCACCACACATTGCACCCTTCGGACTTTCTTAGTTTCCGGTATCTACCTTCTAGGTAAATTACGAACGTTCCAACTTCCCGCAGCAGCTGAACTCTGGATTAAGGGTAGCAATGGGGTGATTAGGCGTCACGTCTAGGATAATGATGCATGCAGAACCAAAGCTATCCCAGGCTTGGATTGGCCGGATTGTCTGCCGAGAAACCATGCGAATGACATGGAAACGTGAGGCCCGCGGAGGACGGATGCCACCGGTACTCCACAACGGTGCCTGTGTTCCTGAATCCCTGGGGAGGGCAGGGTAGATCAATGGTAAATATGAGCAGGGATATATGAAGTACGGATCATTCGTACATCTCTGTGGTTTGGGTGTTTTGGGGAAAGGGGGGGGGGGAGAAGCGCGGGCGCCGAGTGATGTGCACTGGTTACGTACCCTCTCTCTCCTCGTCCTTGTTCCCGCCTTCCGCATCATCCAAACTGTACTTCCCCTCTCTCTTCCTCATCATCGTTTACTCTGTATACCTTACCTTACGCTTCCATCTCGTACCCTCAAGGTACCGTTGCCTACCCCTCTTCTTGTTTTACCTACTAATACTGGTAGCTACCCCTCTTCTTCTTCTACCCAACTCTCCTTCTTTCTCTTCCTCTTTTCATCCTCATCTTGCCTGATTCCATTCACCGACTTGAGAACACTTGACGCAACTACGGATCTTTGACTGAGGTATTGTTATTCGCACTCGTAAGCGGGACCCATTGCACGTTTCATCGAGCTAACGGGAGGCTCTTTCCATTGTTTAGATCTCTTCGTGACCGTTCCCACATCAATAAACTTCAAACCAGTCTAGCCTCCATCATGTCAGAACCACTCACCAAGGTCGACTCCGCCGTCCAGGGCTTGTCTTCATCGCCGCCCAAGGAGAAGGGCCATAGAAGGGCCAGCTCCAGCGCTGCTGGCGTGATGAACATCAATGATCTTGGTAAGTTCCCTTACTTCAGGTTCGATTCCCGACCCTGCTTATTTCACACGTTCTGCTTCGAATCTCTCGGAACCAGAAGCATGGAACTAATTCGCTTGCCCCTTTCCAGAGGCCCAGGGCATTGAACTAAAGCTTGAACCGGACACACAGAAGACCGGATGGTAAGTCGTTTTGTGCCCTTTGCCGTTCTCTCGAGTATGATCGGAGGGGTGAACCGTCAATTTGTCTGCGAAGGCGCTGCGTCTGCTTTATCTAAGCTAACCAGCTTCGCTCCTCACATAGGAAGATCAACACATCCCCGAGCTCAATAGAGGAGCCAGCAATGCTCAAAAAACTGCTGACCACACCCCCCGTCAAGAAGATTGACTTGCGATTCCCGCTAGGAATGGAGGTGACCGCAAGGAACCTCAAGGGGGTAACAATCAAGGATGCCATGGATGCCATCTACAAGGCATACAAGAAGAAGGTACGTCGCTGATTATTTACCGACATGTTTTACTTCCTCAGATGGGATTTGACTGGTCTTGCAATAGGCCGACGATGAACTAGACCAGCCATACTTGTTGGGCTTTGAGTGGGACAAGGAGGATTCGTGGACGCGACTTATTGTGCACCTCGCCAAGAACCCAACCACCTCGTCTTCTGGTGGCGGCGGCAAGAAGAAGAAGAAGAACCAGGAGTAAAGAGGCGAAGAAGGCCTGCCCACCGGCCACACACTTCGGTCATCTTATCCAATACTCCCTCTACACCCCTCCCTCACCATATCTATGTACCTATCTGGTATTGGTATCAGGTTTCTTCCGGTGTCTCAGCTTTCTTCGGCGTCTGCGAGGCGAACTTGGGTGCACATGGTAAAGAACGGGATATTGCGATAATTTATCGTCGGATGGGGCTGGAACCTTTTGCGTTCTGCTTTAGAAACACCGCCGGCATGCCGCTGCGAACCTTTTCTGTCCGGTACCAATCTCGGACCGCGTGTATCACGAGTATACTTCTGGGGCAGACAATTGTCACCTTCACTGAAACCGCAGGACGCTAGCAGTATGGTCTTGCTATGAGCCCTGGTATGACAAACAACGAATATTAAATCGTCATTTAATCGGACTATCAAGTGTTTGCATTGGTTTCTGCGTCATATCCTCGGTGTCCAGCTCCTTTATGCACATCGCGGAGGCCTCAGAGGATGCGTTGTTGGGTTTTAATGCTCCCTAATGAGCATGATGCCCCGGAGAGATGGGAAAAGAAGGGAGAAGCATCTTAAACATGTCTAACCTACATGAAGGAACCACCGCAAGGAGATTCGGTTCGCTAACTTGCCAGAAAATTTGAGCGGGTTGCTCAAGAATCAACAGCTGGGGGTTAGGAATAGTCCTCGCGACCCGGCGTTGGGGATCCGTAAGCGCCCAATTCCCGCGGTCGCTGAAATATAGTGGCGGTTCGGCAGCGTCCCAGCCGTTGGCTCAGTAGCGTTCGCTCGTATGACCAGGCGGATATCTCGAAACAACCTTAGAGAGCATGCCGAGTCTGGAAGAGTGTCGCTGGATTCGTGTGTAGTTGGCATCGCCCCTTTCAGCCTTCAGTTTTGCGTCTCGACTCTCCGGCTCCGGAATGCTTCGTCTCGTCATTGCCTTCGGAATCTGATGTGTATTCGCGTTGTCGCGGCGAATTTGATTATGCTGGCGTATCCAAATCCTTGACAGGCGAATATATCACCATTGGAAATTTGGAATAGGAGAGGAGCAGAAGAGCTGCATAATGGACGTCGGATCACTGAAGTTGACGTCGTCAATTTGTGAGGTCCGCCTTATAGTGGGTCTGATTTGGGCGTCCAGTCACGTGGTACTGCTGAGTAAATCGATGTCAAAACGGAATGAATTGTCCCCGGCTACTATCGGCAGGGAAGTCCCTCTTCCTGTCACGGTCACGAGTGCGGAAGCGGAGGAGTCGGTCGGCTTAAGCTGGATGTTCACGGAGAACTGACGTCTTTCCCCCCTCCCCAGAGTTTGGTGGCTGTTCCACAGCTACCGAGAATCCGAGATACCGTTACCTGCTTCTGTTTTTAAGAACACTTTGTCAGAACACGTCCAACAATGGAATCTCCCGTCTCAGTCACAACTTTCTTCGCCATCGGGATCAAGCGATTCGATCCTTGACAAGAGAATTGCCTACGTACAGTCAGTCCTTCACATCAGCTCGTCATCCATTAAGCCTGTCAGCCCCCGTTGGCCACGTTGTCACCATGCCTGTCACCACGTTTGACTTCCCTGAGAAATACAGGTATCAGACCGGCTTCGACTCCCATCTTGAGTTCGTCTCTCCGTTACCGCCCCTCCTCTCCCACCCTACACCACGTGGGCTTTACCAGGCACGTCGGAGCTAATTGATGACTGCTTCTCTAGGTCCGAAGCCGTCCCCGACTCGCTCCCCATCGGCCAAAATTCTCCCCAGAAACCGCCTCATGGTCTTTACGCGGAGAAGCTTTCCGGAACCTCCTTCACGGCGCCTCGGCACGACAACAGGCAAGCCTGGCTCTACCGCATCCTCCCCTCCTGCGCGCATGCTCCGTTCGGCCCGGCCATCACCTCGATAGCAGAAAAGCAGGAGAACGGGGGGGGTGGGGAGAATGGCGTGCAATCCTCGCCCAAGTTGCACTACATCCCCAACCAGTTGAGGTGGGATCCTTTCGACCATGACCAGTCCAAGACACTAGATTTCGTCTCGGGACAACGCCTGGTTGCCGGCGCCGGCGACCCGACCCTGAAGCAGGGTATCGGAATCTACGTCTACGCCGCCGGCAAGGATATGGAGGACCGTTCGGCGTTCTACTCAGCCGACGGTGATCTTCTCATTGTGCCTCAGGAGGGAACTCTCGATATCCGCACCGAGTTCGGCTATCTGCTCGTTCGGCCCATGGAAATCTGCGTCATCCCTCGGGGCGTGAAGTATCACGTATCTCTTCCCTCCGGCTCAGCTCGCGGATACGCTCTCGAGCTGTACCAGGGCCACTTCAAGTTGCCGGAACTCGGGCCCATCGGCACCAACGGTCTTGCCAACGAACGCGACTTCCAGGCCCCCGTCGCCGCCTTCGACGAGGACTTTGGCGCCACCGCACAGGAGGGGCCCCACAGCTACACCATCACCGTCAAGTTCGACAACACCTACTTCCAGGCCCACCAGTCACACACCCCCTTTGACGTCGTCGCCTGGCACGGGAACTACTACCCGGTAAAGTACGACCTCGGCCGCTTCAACACCGTCGGTACCATCTCGTACGACCACCCGGACCCATCCATCTTCACCGTGCTCACCGCGCCGTCCGGCGTCCCCGGGGCCGCCATCGCCGACTTTGTCATCTTCCCGCCCCGCTGGCTCGTGGCCGAGGACACCTTCCGGCCGCCGTACTTCCACCGCAACACGATGAGCGAGTTCATGGGCCTCATCACCGGCGACTACGACGCCAAGCGCGCCGGCCGGGGCGGTTTCGTACCCGGCGGTGCCAGCTTGCACAACACCATGAGCGGACACGGGCCCGATGCCGCCAGCAGCGAGGGGGCCCGGAACGCCGAGCTGCGGCCCGCCAAGGTGGGGACCGGCAGCTGCGCTTTCATGTTCGAGAGCTGCGCCATGGTCGGCGTCACGGACTGGGGTTTGCGGACTTGCAGCAAGGTTCAGGAACGGTATGCCGAGGAGAGCTGGGGCGGTGTGCCTGTGCACTGGAAGCGGCCTGACGGAGTGTCAAAGGGTGCTCACCTGCTAAAGTAGGTTATGTAATGTGTTGTGTTTAGGACGCCGTTGTCCCAGAGACTGGGCTTACCTGAGTGGGAGGTTATTTGGGTAGGGGGTCTGTGTTTCCAATGCAACTTAGAGTGAATTGCAGCCCAGCTTCGCCGCAAGAGACTTGTCGGGATGCCTGCCCATCTTTCTAGAAAGTGAAAGACTTAGAAGACCCCGTCGCCGACGATTTCCTGGTGCGGCTGGCCTGGAAAGCCTCGTCGGGCCAGGCTGTGCCGGGCGTCACCAACGTGAACACAGCCGGCGGAGCCGAGGGAACTCCGTCCACAAACATCCTAGGACGTATGTTCTTTATCTACGTGCTGACACAGTCCTTTCATTATATGGCGACCTCCGGACTCGAATTTGGCTATATGGCGACCGGCGAGACCCTCTTATTTCTACGCGTGGCTCGAGACGACCCGACCACGCTCCTGTACTATACTGAAGTCTTTCCCCAGTACTGCCGCCCAGATAGGGCCAACGCCGATACGGACATCCCAGCTAACGGCGCCGCCGTCGACGTTGTAAATAGCAAATAGTAAATAGTAATAATTAACTATTTTCATAAATCCCTCAATTCTATTACTGCCCTATCTATGGTATGTAAATTGATGCGCTGTATTGCTTTAGCTATAGTAAAACGCTCTATATTATAGTATACCTCGTGAAGCCAGAGTCGTCATGCCGCCGTCCGCGCCCGCTTGTCTACACGATTATCTTCACCAACCCCTCCTCTACTGCCGTGGTGGAGCGCGTTCAGGCCTCTCTTTACCTGCAGCGGCGAACGTTGCGGCGACGAGGGCGACGACGCTGCTGCTGCCGCTGCCATCGGCACAATTCGCAAACCGGCATCGTCAAAATCAAACTGCATTACCCGACTCACCTCCTCGTTCCACGCCAGATTGGCGTCGTGGATGTCATCATTCTCCAGCCCGGCCTCCCACAGCTCCGTCCACGTCCTCTTGGCCTCCGCGTCCAGATCCACGCCCGCGGGACGTAGGTCTCGCGAGCTCAAATCGGGTCCCGCGTACGACATGAGCAGCATGTGCGACACCCACTGGCAGTTGCGCAGCGGGATCGACCGCGCCAGGTCGACGGTGCCTAGGCAGACGGGGATGATGCGGCCCTGGAAGGCATCCAGGGCCTTGTAGATGGCAGCCTCGTGCTGCAGCACGCGGTGATGCATGGCCTGGACGGCCTTGGCCACGAACGTGTAACCTAGCACCGTGAGGGTGATTTTGAAGAGAGCGCCATAGCGGCCGAAGTACCCGTCAAACAGGAGGCTCTGGCAGTCTCTCTCTATGTGGTCAGCTAGTTGGGCCACAAGGCGCGCCTGGAACTGGGCCACTGTGACTGGATGCACGTCCTTGCCGCCTGTTCGATGGAGCTCTACGTTGGGACACTTGGGATCCAGCCTCTGGCCACGGCAGAGACCACGGAGACACCCCTGCGTGCAGTACGGCAGCGTCGGAGGCGCTACTATAAAAGGCCCCGTGAGACGCGCCTGTTGGGCTCCGCTAGGTCCTGTCACTTCGCCGCCCGTTCCCGTCGATGACGATCCATCCGCGTGTGGGCGTTTCCGGGGGCTTTGGGCGCCAGCAGCACCGCCACCAGTGGCGCTGCTGCTTCCGTCGGCATTACCTCCAGCGTTTCCTCCGGCATTGCTTCCGTCGTTGCCTCTGTCATGTGGCAGCAGCGGGAGCGGTATGTCCGCCAGAGCAGGCACAGTGGCCTTGGACTTGGGCCACCGTCTCAGATCGCCATCCCTGGCGCCAATCCAACTTGCCGAGCGGCGAGTAGAATCGATAGACAGCATGGACAACGTGGCTAGATGGGCGGCGGCCGTCTCGCGGGGCGCCCGTGAGGCAACCACTCCTCCAGGACCCCGGTTCGCGGGGAAGACAGACATGAAATAGTAGAGCGTGTTCGGGTCGTCCTCCATCACACGGAGGAACACCAGGCCTTCCCCGGAAGCCACATACCCAAACTCGAGGCCAGAGGAAATCATATAGTGGAAGGCCTGGCAGAGCGCCTTGGCCACATGTACCTCACCCGGCAGTCCAGTCGAGTCAGATACGGCGATGTCTTGGCGAGCCGTCCGCAGAAAAAAGTCATCGCCGGGCGCAGACAAGACTCGGTTTAGCTTCCCCCCGTTAAGGGCGTGAGCCGGCTTGATCTCGGCCACTAGAACAGGCTCCTCCTTGGGTCCCGGCCTGTCGGCGCAAGGATAGGCGATCAGCCATCGGTCCGGAACGCCCATGTCCTTAACGGGCGACCGTTTCTTCCGAGGCGGCTCTGTCGACGACGACGCCCTTTCTCCTGTGGACTGCTCGAGCGATGGGTCATTTTTGCCCTCGAGTGCTATGCCGTACACGTTGCCGTGGAACTTAACCGCCCTGAACTTGCTGTGGTCTGCCACGCCGAGGTACTCCGACACCACCGTCGCCGCCGGCTTCTCGATGGCCGCGCGGACAAAGGGCCGCAGCGCCAGCTCGCTCGAGACCTTGGGGCTAAGGTCGTTGCCCAGAAACTCGACAGATATCAACGACGGGAAGCACGCACGGCCGGCAAGCACTGCAGAAAATGCGTCGAACGTGGCGTTGTGGATAGCCGCAAAGTCCGTCCACGGCTGGAAGTGCTGTGGATAGAACTTGCCCTCGACTTTCGTTGCCGAGGGTTTGGATGTCTTGACCGGGTTGGGCTCAATAGAGAACCTGGCGAATACGTGCCGCTCGACATTGAGGATGTAGTCAGACAATTGAGTCGACGCTTCACGCTGCTGCAAGTGTTCCTTTGCGCGTCTCTCCTGCTCCTTTTCGCGTCTCTCCTGCTCTTCTCGCGCTTCTGCTGCCTCTTTGTCACGTATCAGCTGCTTCTCTCGTTCTTGGAATTGCTTCTCACGCTCTTGAAGCGCCTTGATCTGACGTTCGAGGTCCTCCATGCTAACGTTGGTTGTAGGAACCGTGAATTAAGGCGGGAGTTAGCTAGCTCCCCGATAAACCCGTTGCTTTTCCTTAGGCAGCCATCCGGATACAGGTAATTCCGAACCGTGACCCCATAGCAACCCACAGTCTCGACCCACGCGGTACCCTGAGGCCGTAGTGTAGAGCCCGTATTTGGTGATGTCCTTACGAGCCCACCAAAATACAGCACGCTATCGTCACGGCCCTGAAATTCCTGAGGGGAAGTTCAGAGGCCTATACCTACCCCTAAGGCTTATGCCTACCCCCGAGGCTCGTGCTAATACAACACACCCCCCTAGTTAGAGCGGATCCACTTTTCCGGGCCGACTAGTGTAATAGAGCAGGGCCGTAATGGCATAAAACTGGATCGTCTAGATAATGTAAATTGTGATGGATGATGGGTGAAAATCTAGATACAGGAAGATCGGATGAAACGCTCCTTATATAATCCGGTCGGTTACGTGCACCTATTGTCGAATAGACCACAGTCTTTTCGGTTATGTAATGGGCCGGATTGCCAAGAGTATAATTCGGGTGGACGCTTACAGAACCTGCACTATATAAAATACGGTGGCAGCGTTTCCCTAACGGTCGGAGACAGTTATAATTATATATAATTGCCTTAATCAAATTTTAACCTATTTTATAACGATTTTAACTACGCTTTATCTAATAATTAAGAGTCTTACTTACTAAGTGAAGATATACCTATTTTACCTACTATTTTACCTTTACTACTATCGATTTAAGAAGCTATCTAGCCGCGCCGATATAGCATGTTAATCTATAAAATAACTATTAAGATATCGTATCTTAGCCCTATTATATATAAAACCTATAAGGATTAGGAGCTCTAGCCACGCCTGTACGAATCGGTTACCACCTATAATAACATGTGGAGGTTTCTCCGCCTAGTCGATCCGACTTAGTCCCCCGAAAAGACTATAATGCCGAATTCGACTCTTTCCCCTTTATAACGCCTAGGCGTACCCCTATATAATATCTCGACCTTACGGACGCTGGCTAGAAAGCGTACGACGTTAAAATCGCTCGCTAGAAGATCCTATAAACCTAGATAAGAGTACTCTTTAACGAGCTTCTTAACTAGATTAGACTAACTGCCTTTAACGGCTTAAACCTTTTTAACTAGGCGTTTAACGGTAGGACGAATAGCCGTATCCGTATATAGGTTAACGTAGGTAATCTTATCGGCTTTACTAAGGCGGTTAAGCTTAGTATAGTTATCGTACTATTAAAGGAACGTGGAGAGGGACTTACTACTAAAGCGGGGAGCTCTAGTAGCGAGGGGATTTAGGGGTGCTCTCGATATAGCGGTAATAGGGGGTAGGGCTCTAACGACCTCGGCGATAATACTCTCTCGGTCACGGCTTATTAAGGCTTATAGTAGCTTAATCAGGTCTTTAGCGGTAGTAGGGGACTACTAACGCTTAGGGGCGGCGGTAGTAGGAGCGTTCGAAGCGGGCTAGGTAGTAAAAATAGGGTAGGCAGGGGTAGTAGTCGATCTATAGGCAGGGGTAGATCTAAAGGCTAATCCGGGGGCAGTATTAGGGGTAGTTATCGAAATAGTAGTTAGAGCCGTGGTAGACGTAGTAGTCGGCCTAAAAGCGGGCGGAGGTAAGGCCGTAGCCCTAATATCGTGGTTCCCTTAATTAGGGGCAGTAGAAATAGCGGGCGTAAGAATAAGGGGAATAGCCGGCGAGGGAGCCTTATTATCGGAGTCGCTAACGACGATAATAAGGGTAGCCTCGCGATACTAATTCTAAGTATCTATAGTATTTTAGGTATAAGTATAAGGGGGTAGGCGAATAATAATAATAGGGTTAGGGCGTTTAGGGAAAGGTTTTTTAAAATAATCGTCTAGCGAGAAGATCCTATAGGTATTCTAGATACTAGCTAGGTTATTATATATATTATCTCGTCTTAATAAGAGTAATAAAGTCTTTAATAAGAGGGTAATCCTAGGTTTTACTCCGTAATACTTATCTTCGGGGTTAGGCTTTTCTAACTCACTATAAAGGAAAAGGCCCCTTATAATTAGGAGATTACCTATTAGTAAAAAGGCTATACTCACGGATATAAATATTAAAAGCACTACACGCTAAGTCTTACGAAGAGGTATTATAACTTACTTATAGGGTCCGTAAAGGTCTTTACTAGACTATCGGGTCCTCTTATAAGGTATTGTTATTTCGCTCCTATACTCGGTATTAGCTTTTTATTAGGTCTGCTAGGGTTCAGTTACCCTAATCCGGGTAAGCTGCTCTTGGCGGTCTTATCTTTTCTTCGCTATCGTGCAAGAATCTATTTTAATTAGTAATAGGGGTTATAAGCCCCCTATTAAGTCTATTCTATATCCGGAATCTAACTCTATTATAATCTAATCGGTTTTTTCTATTCCTATAATTACTACCTCCGTGGCGGCGGGTCTTATAATTAAAAGTGTTAATAGTTCTTTAACTCTTACCTAAGCAGTTATTTCTTTTCCTAATCTTATTAGAGTAAATCTCCCCTTAGTCTTAAAGCGTTAAATCCTTCCTTAGTTATTATCTTTATATTCTTCCTAGGGTTATTAACTAATAGTCCGTTTAGGAGGGCCGGAACCTCCCTTAAGCGCCTTTATTACTCTGATTAGGGTTAGAATACTTTAGGGACGCCGAATAAATCGGCCTCCGAGTACTATATTATAACTGGATAAAGACGTAGTGGCACTAGATCGTTAAGATAAAGATTAGATAAAGAGGTTAGTCTAGCAAAACCACGATATATAACTAAAATATAACTAACACCACTATAACCTTTAGCGAAGAAGTAGATTGGTAATCACTATTCTAATTAGGATAACGTAAGTTAAACTGGAAAGATACCTTAAACGTAGAATAAGCAATTATAAAAGAGAATAATAATTATATATTAGTCCCTCGATAGGGATATCCGGCTCCTATCCTTAATATATATATAGGGGGTGGACCCCGTAGCCTTGAAAAGGGGGTTATATAACCACCTGCCAAACCACTCTAAAGCCGTATCTACGCGGTTATATTACCGATAATAGTCTTAATCGAAAGAGTAGTTAAGCGTATATGATACGCTTATTTAGCGGTATAATCGCGTAGCGCGCTAATAAGCAGGATACGGTCACGATATTAATAATAGAAGCAGAGCTATTAGTGTTAGTATAAGGTGTAAAAAAGAGTATCTTTATATAACGCCTATTACTTAGTATAGGAGTCGAATTTAATGATCCGGAATTAAGGATCTTATACGATAATAACTAAACGATTCGATTAGTTAATTAAGAGATTAGTATACTAATAACGCGCCTCTATCACGTTAATATCCACGGCCACTAATTACGTTAAGTAAAGGAATAAGGGTAAATACTCGTAATATACGTTACGAGCGCGGAAATAATAGTAGATGGATTAAGAAAGGCGTTATACGGCGAGAAATTTAAGATATTTAGGTCCTAGGTAGGAGTAATAAATATACGGGAACGGCTATAGTAAAAATGGCTAGAGAAGGTCCGGATAGAGTATTTAGAGGACCTAGAGGATGAATTTAAGGGCGGCTATAGCGAAAAGATTACCTAGGCCGTTGTTATAGGTATACTATAAGGAGTGATAGGCGACTACTCAACGATATAAGATCACCTAAGGACTAGTAGGAACTAAAGAGGGGGTATCGTGATAAGATTATTCGTTGAGTCCTTCTAAGACTCTCGGAACTATAGAAGGCACTCACCTCTTTATACCTACCTAAGGTTTTCTAACTAAGTGGGTAGTAAGAGGCCTCCTTAGGACTAAGTTTAGGCGTAAGCTGGTTCCTAAGCTAACTAGCTTACTAGATCTAAGCCGACTTCTAAGCTGACTAGCTTATTTAACCTCGACGCGTTATATCTTTAATAGTCTGACCTGACTACGATCCCCCTATCTATATATAAGTCTAGTGCTAGTCCTGTGGTAACGTATAAGTACTATATATTCTAATAATATGCCCCTCTCTAGAAATACTCCTATCCTTAGGAGCGTAAATACGGATAATTAAAGAGAGATTGATTATCTGGTAAAGGGAACCTGTATTATTACGAAACTCTTTAGTATAACCGTCTTTATTTAGACCGGGTTCTTTCTTCCCACTTAGAGTACTTAAGGAAGATAATAAGCGTTCACCCTTAAATCGCAGATATAGCTATATCTAACTAAGACGTTATTTAGATATAAAGGTCCTAAGGGCAGTATAATTAGTTTAAAGAGCGAAGTAAAAAGGAATCTATAAATAACTATCGTGTAAATAAATAACGTGCTTAAAATATCCTTAAAGTAAGTATATAAAGAGATTACCTATAGTGTTACCGTTAACTAGCAGGGTTCTTATTATAGTAAGAATAAAAGGATATAGGAGGTCTAATAGTAGGTATAATATATCGTCGTGGTAGATATAAGAAAGGTATACGCGGTTCTCCAGGGTTAGTTAACCTCTTACTATAGTAATAATAATAATATTAACTATTTTCCCATATAACCTTCGTATTAACTTTTTCTTTCCTAATATAAGCATATATTCATAACTCTTCTCCTACTAGTAAGTGTCTCTACACGTCTATCCGTGAAGATTAATAAGTAATAAGAGGTAGCCTGCTTTTATAATATTAATAACTTTTAATTATTAACGCGCTAATAACTCCTATTATTATATCTAACTATCTAACTAAAGACTAACTAGCGCTTATTATAGAGTATATAGAGAACCTCCGCTAAGAGAATATAGCGCTATGGCTAGTTATAGACTAATAAAATAGCCTTACTAATAATAATAACACTACTACTAAAGTGGTTAAATTATGGTAATAGCCCCGTTATTAAGCTATCGTTAGATAGCGAGTACGCTCCTAGTAAGTATAAAGAGACTAATAATAATAGTGTTATTATAATTAATAACGATTCCTTCGAGGGGTTCTTTAAGGGAGAGGGTAGTAAGGTAGTTATAGTAAACCACGGGGAGGAAAAGGAGGATAAGGACGATACTAACCCGGATACGGTTAATAATATCGACGAGGATAAGGATATAGCCGATACCTATAAAGGCGATAACGAGTTATAGGAGGATACTATATACACGGTTAAGGAGGATATAGAGGGCACCCACCCTCGCGCTCCTTATAACCGTTATACGTGGCACTTCCT